CACTGGATAAAGCCAATAAGCTCACACAAAGGGTCATTCCAACTACCAGGTAAAGTCAGGATGCATGACAAATGGTGTTGTCAAGTCCTCTTACTTGAGTACCAGCTCTTGTTTATCTTGAAAATGTACGTGCAGTGGGCTGCATCTCTTCAGCTGTATCAAAGAGTGAGAATTCTTTTTTTTTTTTTACCTTTGCACTCTCTTAGCAATTGCGCAGGATGCCTGTCACATATTGAGCTTTATGTTTATTTAACAATAAAGTGGTTTATTTCTTAAGTACCTTAGTACAGAGAATGTGGAGGCTGGGAAAAGATTTTGTTTTCAATTATATTTCCCCAATATATGATTGGCTTTTAATTGGAATAAAGGACCCCCAAAATAATACATTTGTTCCTAACCGTAAATGTGAATTAGCATCATCTACAGGGTTCCAAATAGACTCCTGTCACCATATTGAGACTGGGTTCCAGCACCACGTATTTAGGGTGAGGTGATGGCCCATGCGCTTCTATCCACTTTCCAAGGTGACTTTGTTGCAAGTATTCTGTAGATACCACTGTAAATGAATGTTTCAACATAAATAAATTTGTTACCGTACAATATGTACTTTCTTTGCTGGCTTAGTCACTTCTGAGCTGATCAGCATGTTTTTTTCACACTTTCAAGTATGTACAACTCCATCATCAATCAGAGCCTCTCTGCTAAGCAGTCTGCTTACGTCTTAGCCTTCTGTCCATTCGTAATAGGGCCTTGTCTTGACCACCCTTTCAAGGCTCTGTCAGACCTCTGCTCCTAATTCGAATGAAAACTACCCTTTCCCACAGTATTACAAGGGAAAAAAATAGCATCTCTCACCTCTCTGCCCGTATCTTTATCTTTTCTCTCTTACATCAGAAACAGAGCTATTGCTTTCCCAAGGTGGATCCCTCGAACTGCACAGCACAGCATCTCTACCTTCTCATCACAGCAGTTACTTCCTTATCATATTTCCAGTCTCTGAATACTTTCCCTTTACTCGGAGATCCTCCTCTTCCCTCCCCACCACATGTGCACACACACGCGCGCACACACACTCACACACCAAAAAGAAAGTGTCCTATTTTCTCTCATTGCTGGGACAAAATACTCAATGCCCAAAATTAAGGAAGGAAAGGTTTATCTGGCTCACAGTTTGTGGAAGTTTCAATCCGTACTTGGCTGGCTCCAAGGCAGAGTGGCACATGGCAAAGGGCAATGGTTTATGGCCCCAGAAGACAGCAAAAGCAACAAGAATGGGATGGGTAGAGCAATCCTCCATTCCTCCCAGATATTGTAAGCAGGCTACCTGCCCTCAGGTGAGCTGCTGAGCGTAACACTCACACCGTCTCCCTGCCCTCCGCTTGCGTAGGCTCAGGATGTTTGAAAACCAGGGACACTGGCCCCCTGTTGAGTCGCTTAATTAAACTAAACATCTCAAGTTGACACAAGGTATCAACCATTACAGAAAGAAAATAAAAACTCTTCTTATTTCAACTTCTGGCTCAAATTACTCTAACAGTTACCTAAACAGAAGTCTTTTTGAAACCTTTCATTTTCCTGTCTCCTGATCTTTGCTCACACACTGTGCAGGGTTTCATCTCTCATGTAGCTATTTCCAGTTTCAACCTGCTCTCTCTGATTCTTGTCTGTTTCCCACCTTTGCACAGAAGCTGCTGCTATCCATTCTTTCCTATAAAACCCTTCTAACTCTCTGTTTCCAGACTAAAACTGCCTTCCAAGGCGTGCAAGTACCCTGTATTTCTGATGGCGCTTAACAGTATCAACTTCTAATGGCCCGTTCTCAAAACATACACGTCTTCCTGTTCTCTCACCTCCCCATTGGATCAGTTCTCGAATTCTGCTGAGTCCACCACAAAAGAACTTAATAAAGCTGTTGCCTTTACTGCTCCCACTCCAGTGCCTTCCATATTTCTCTCTGCTTCTAGTCTCTTCTGAATTGATTCTTTCACTTTTCCCAATGTTTGGGGGTTTTGTTGTTGTTGTTGTTGTTTTATTTTAAAGATAAAAGAAGGAAAACATTAACAGACAGACAACATTTTACAAAATAGCAAAAGAACAGTACAGACAGTACGGAGTTACAAAGAAAGTGGTAGGGAATTAACAATGCTTGTTGTATTACATATTGATATCTTCAAAGTGGCTTCTCATGAAAACAGGTATAGACATGCAATGCTGATCGACCAAGGACTCATTGACATTTCAGCAAAGAAATACAAGACAGTAGAACATCCATGTTAACTATCCTGCATATACATACATACAAAATTTC